CCACCCACTGAAGGGGGTGATGGTGTGACCCTAGACAGCTTTGGGAACCCACCCCGCAGTGCCCACGGCATGGGGCTGACCCTCACGCCCTCGTGCCAGATGTTATTTCAGGCCAAAGCAAAGAAATCCGCGCTGCCTAGCTAAGGAGTACATAAGTAGGATTGTGAAATAATGGAAATAGCTTGAGAACTCCCTTCAGGTATTGTTTGAACCCTAGAGGGCAGGGACTGACCAGGCAAGAAATAACTAATAGAAAGTGAGACTTATGGCTCCGGAAAACAGACACGAATGCACGTTACCAGCATAATCAGAGTGGCGGGTGCTGGTGCAGGTTTTAGCTCTTGGAGACCATAAACTGAGATTCCGGTGTGTTTCCACTTTTAATGTGGCCTGGATTCAGATTTGCTCGGAAAGCAATGGCAAATCCAGACACCAGAGTTAGTGTTGAATGTCCTCTGTGTGAGAACAGCCAGAACGAGAGGGTGCTCAGGCAGGGATGGAGGAGAGATGTGGGAGGGGAAAGACGGTTCAGGGGCCAGTGAGCTCAGCTACCTGATTTCAAGTCATGAGCTTTCAAATAAGGAAAAATCAAGATAAATGTGCCACTTTTCAGGACACTTTTGAATGGAAGATGAACAGACCCGAGAAGTGATTTGTTACTCAAAAGATTGTGTGTTACCCCCAGTTGAAAGGCTGATCCCAGGCTGGTTTCAGGGTGAACTGCTTGAAACCAGGTTGTGAATTTTGTTATAACTGGGGCAACTTTTCCCCAAAACCCCACTGCCAGGAAAGGGTTGACAGTGCACTGGGCTGGCTGGGTGAGGCACTCCCTGGCCTATTTATCGGATCAGGTGTCCAAGCCTTCTGCCTCTTTCTTCTGAGGACCCCCAGGTGCCCAGGACGGGGAGGTGTCCACCAGCAGGCCACTATTTCTTACTCAGGGTGCAGGGACGGCAGCAGTGGTGACTAACTTGCGTTCCCATCCACTTCTGTTCAAGCCTCAAAATAACCGTTATCTTGAAACTTGTTATCTTGAAAAGATAAGAAAGGATCACAGAAGAGAAAAGATCAGAGAAGGTTAGTGATTTTCCCAAGACCACAGAGCGACAAAGTGGCCTGTCTTCCACAAGTCATGTCTGTGTCCAGTGCTCATGATGCCCAGAGAGGGCAGGCGTTGGAGGCATGGCGGGGTCACCCTCAGCCCAGGTGCCCTGGCATAGTGCAGGCTCTGGGATATTGAAAAGAGACTGTATGAATATACTGAAAACTCAATGGTGTGAAGTTAGCCCCTCTCCCTTCAGTTCCTCTCCTTCCAGCTCCTTCTCCAGCTGGCAGCAGGCACCAGCTTCTTGCTGTCTCCCCAGAGCCAGGCTCTGCACATCCCAGCATCTGTGTGTGTGTGTCGCACGTATGCACACACTCGCAGGTGGCACACACAGCAGGAGCACGCTTACTTTTGCACAAATAGTTTTGGGAGCTTGCTCTGTGCCCACGTATGGAATTTCACCTCATTTGTTTTTTTAAAGATTTATTTATTTATGCATACAGAACTGGGGTACAGGCCAGAGAGGTGCAGGGGCCATGAGAGGATTCACCAGAGATAGAGTGGGGAGGAGAACAGGCCGACTGACAAAGTACACTGCTGAGGGGAGCAGCGGGGGGTCAGGAGAGGTCTGCTGCGCCATGTGGTCACCTCCGGGGCGGGGATCGAACTCATGCTGAAGTGGCGTTAGCCTCTCAGTGCTGTGCTTTAACCTGCTGCGCCATCGGGCCCTTCACCTCATTCTTTTAAAGAACCATATAGGTTCCATGTATGGCTGTGGCTCAGTTCACCTTCCGGCTGTGTGTGCCTGGTGCCAGGCTGTGCACAGGGCCAGGCCTCACGGGGGGCGCCTACGGGGGGTCTATGGAGGTGGGTAAGGCAAAGGGGCTCCTGGAGATACCAGGGAGGCCCCCCTCGCTGGGGGCCCTGTGAGGCCTTCACCACCAGCAATTCCCAGGAGGCTGTCTCAGAGGCTGGTTCAGGTTCTGGCTAGTTCCTCTCACACCTCATCTTGGGAGCAGCAGCCCCTCAAGCTTTCTGTGCTCCATGTTTTGGAAAAATGTTCCCAGAGAAGTACAGACATCTGCCTTTCTTGGGCTTTACCAACGGAATGGGATTTTTTTCCTCTGGGTTCCCTTTGGGGTGCCATGGGGCTCTCTGGGTCCCAGATCAGTAGGCCTTTCTCTATCTGCTGGCTAGAGAATTAATTCCATCAGAACATTTTCAGGATGCTTCAGAAATAGGAATTTTTTTACTCAAATGTTTGAGTCTGGATCCAATTCAATCCCGTAATGTGGTGTTTTGCTTAATGACTGCAGAATATTGTCTTATCTGAAGAGAAGCAGGACATGCTAAGACCGCAAAATTAACAGCTTGGAATTCTCACCCATGCTGGCTGTTAATTGACTTAAGCCATTACAGGAAAAGAGGTTTTGGCAAATCCTAAGGCATTTGCACCAGCAAAGCCATGGACATAGTCAAATCATTTAAAAATACACGTCTGGCGAGCCAGTCGTTGCAGGGAAATAGGCTGTTTGAGCAGAAGGTTTGCAAAAGCTTCCATGGTTCCCAAATAAAGTTTCTGAACACGGTTCCACCTCATGGCAAAACTAACCCCCTAAAACCCCACTGTGATTGTCACAGACGTCGGCGACCATCTTGACAATTGCAGTTTTCTTGGGAAGGCGGTAAGGCCTCGTGGGACCACCAACCTCAGAGTCGCTTCTCACTTGTGGGTCAGACAATGTGGCTAGTGGGGGGAGGGGGAGTGCGTGGGGGTCGACGCCTTGCTGACCCGCGGAGCAGGAAGCGCCAGGCCGGGGCGTTTAAAACAAGCTCATGATTTTCACACAACGATTTTTTCCCCTCTGGAAGTGCCTCATGTGTGGCAAAGCCGCTGAAGGCTGACACCCACAACCCCTGAAACGAGGCTGCACCAACCTGACAATCTACCTCGGAACAGTGGTGGCTCGGTCCAGGCTGCGCTGCTTCCCCAAGTTGGTTTTCTGGAGTCCACCTGTGGCGGCTGCCCGGAGCGGAGACCCCCGGGGGCCCAGCAGCCCTCAGCAGCCCGCCCAGGGGAGGGGCCCAGCCTGCTCTGGAGCGGGAGGCTTCTCCAGGGCCAAGGAACAGGTTCTCCTTGCAAGGAGGGCGCGGTCCTGGGCTAGGTTCGCACACAGTTCCGGAGCGCATGGGGAGCGCCGCAAACCGAATCAAGCTTGGAAAATGGCAGGAGGAAAGGTTGCCTTTAGAGTCAGATGGTCATCCATGCCACTCCCAGCTTGTTTTCTGTAGATTCATTTTCTAAGGAGGGGGAGCATGACCCCCACCAACCCAGCTGCAGCCCCCTTCCCAGGCGTCCTCTGTAATTGTCCCTTGGGGTGAAAGCCCCGCCCCAGAGTTGGCCTGGGAGCTACTGGCAGAAGTGGCTTCCTTCAGCCAAAACCTTGGGAGCCCCCCCACCCTTTGCTGAGGTGGCGCCTGTGGGCTCTCCCCTTCCTGTCCCGAGGGCACCCTCAGGCCCCCAGACCCCTCCACCCCTCACTGTACTCTCTGGCAGTCAGCCCCCTTCCTTCCCCTACACCTAGCTGTTCAGCAACAAGATAATGATAATGGAGGTTTCTTTTTTTTCCCTTCTTTCTTCTGTGATAAATAGTTGCATGTCAAAAGTCCTTCCATTACGTTTTTAATAATATTAGTAATGAAATAATAATGGCAAGGCTCTCTGTAGCATGCCAAGCTAACTCACGGCCCTCTGTATTAATGCAGGACAGGATGAATGGGGAAGAGAAACTCTTCTGTGTTCCATGCACATTCACGTGCACGTGCCAGAGGGTGCGAGGCTTGGAGGTGTGTCCGCCATCTCCAAGAAGAGCTGCTCCAGGTCTGAGGAGAGCGCAGGTGAGAGCAGATGGCTCTCCAGGCAGCGCCATGCAGACGTTGGGGACCTCTACTGTGCAGCAGCCAGCTGCCTGCCCTTGACGTGGAGCCTCCCCGCTGGTGTCTGCTGGGGTGGGGGCACAGGTTTCCCTCCTCTGCCCTGTTTCCCCATCACTGGCTGCGCCCCTCACAGCCCGGGGGAGCTCTCTGAATTACCAAAAGCAAAGAAAGAACACAGACCACAGCCCGGCCCACGGTTGTCCAACACTGTTCATAAGGCAGCTGCCTTCCCCAGACACTGAAGCGTGCGGATTTTCATTTGATATTTATGGGGGATGGGATGTTGGCAGACAATGTTGAGAAAAATGAAGGTATCTGACAGGGCAAGGTGGGGACTAAAGCCCCCCCTTCCTCAACTGCCCCTCCCTCTGCGCTCAAGCAGTGGACATCCTTCCTGCCCTGCCAGGGAACCAGAGACCCCACTTACCTGGCCTGGGTGTGTCCTGAGCGCCAGGAGTTTGCAGGGAGGACAACCACCCATCTGAGGCAGGCGGACCTGAGGAAGATAAAGCTGAGCGTCCCTCCCCCACCCCAATCCTGGCACTGCAGCCGCCACTCCTGTCTGTGCCCCAAGGAAAGGGCCCTTTCTCTCCTTCACTCGGAGTACCCCAGAATCTTCAGGTCCTTCCCTTGGGAGGCAACTGCCCAGGAGGGGAGGCAGTCTTTTCTCATTCTTCCTAACCATGGCGGAGGCAGCCTCCACTCCCCGGCACCTCTGAAGTCCCTGAGGGTCACAGCCAGTGGTGCCACCCTGGTGGCTACTGTGCTCTCGGGGACACGCTCAGCCTCGCCACCTGCCTCTGGCCACCTGTCTGCAGTGCCAGGCCGCTGGGCGTGCCCAGGTCCCTCTGGCCTGCTCTGCTGTTTAGCCACACGTGCATTGTGTGGGGTGCAGTGCAGCAACAGGGTTAAGTTTCAGGGTTCACTCTTATAGCTTCTGTACGCTTATAGAATTCACGAGCCATTTCATCCAACTTGAAGAAAAGCACAGGCGCATAAGGTACGAAATGATGTTTTTATTAAAAATTGCACCCATAGCACCTCTCTGTCTTCCTACAGTATTTTTGAAAAGGAGATCAGGTTTTCTGCACAATTCCAGAAAATGTTGTTGGGAAAACCTCAGGACCAACCTAAGCTACTGACACACAGAAGGTGACCTTGAGAGGAAATGGGGCGAGCCTCGGCAGGCGGGCCAGTCCTTGGGTTCCTGCACGGCTCACCCCTTCAGCCCGGATCCGAGCTGCTGGGGTGCTGAAGCAGGGAGAGCCACGCTTCAGACGCGTGGACTGATGGCTCGTTGGGAGAATAACTACACTGTGTGTCAAGGACTCGCAGACTAAGACCATGCGACAAACTTTTATGCAAACACCATGCGTCAGTCCATCATCACCAGGCACAAGCACAGAATCAACAGAGGTGTAGCGTGGAGCCTCCCCAGGGCTGCGAGCCCACGAGGCGAGGCCCACACCTGCGTGCAGAGGGAAGAGCCCCCCCGAGGCCCTCTGCCGCCTGCCTCTTGCTACATTTCCTGCGTGCTCTGAAGAGGTGGCGAGAGGCTGGGGCAGGCTGGGGGAGGAGAGAGCTCAGTGTGGGCCAACTTACTAAGAGGGTGGAGGTGCTGGAGGCCAAGGTGGGGTGCATGATGCCCACTGGGGGCACAGAGACATATACAGCTCTGCCCTGACAGCTCACTTCCCTGGAGCCCCGCACAGCGAGCGGAACCCTGCACACCATGCCCCACAGCTCAGACAGAGCCTGGCGCCTCCTGCTGCTTCCCTGCACCTTCACCTGGGAGGGCAGCTCACCACACTCCTCTGACGCCGGTTAAGGGCTTCCAGGGAGGACTCAGCTGCTGCTCACCGTGAGGCACCTGAATGCCCCGCTCCGGAAGCAGGGAAGGGAACATTTCCTTTGGCCTGGATAACAGAAAGGTGGCTGTCCTTGGTTCCAGAACTGAGATCAAATCCAGCGTCCATTCTCCTATTGTGATTTGTTTTTCCTCCCTAAAGATGAAAGGTGGGGGTGGACACGTGTCAAAGCCCACAGTGCTCTGGGCAGGAGACTGAAACCTACCTAGAAATACCCAGCTCTGTTCCTTCGGTGCGGGCGGCTCTCATAGGCCAGAGGCCCCAGTGACAGAGAGGGGCGAGAGTGTTAACAGTCCATCAGCGTGCCAGTGCAACCTCGTACAGACAATTCCATACCAAAAAAAGTTTACTGAGAGTAGAGAGAATACAGGAAATATGAGCCTGAATAAAAAGGTGTCATGTCACAAAAACCCAAAAGCAAAAAACACCTCAAACCGAACCATCCACATCCTGGGATGTTCCAACATCTCCCCATTAATTAAAGCAGTGTCTGTATGGCTTGGGAGGCGGTCGAGGGCACGGAAGGCAGGGTCTGGCCACGTTTCCACTGGTCACTCGTCTTCCAGGAGTTCCAGCGGCCGCGATGCGGTCTCCTGTCCACTGCGCTGTCTTTGGGCCGAGAGGAAGGAGGCGGCTGCCGGGCCTGGGTCCTGTCCGGTGAACGGGAGGCGGGGTGGGAGGTGGTGAGATTCTCCTGCGGAGGTGGCTTTGGGCACAGCATCTAAGATTTTTGGTTTAGAATACAGTCCCCCCACTCAGAAACAGCAGGAAGGAAGGAGCGGAAGGGAGGACAGGAAGGGGAAGAGACAGAAAGGAGACTTTCCATACTCTTTATTTTTGAAAGAACTGCAAAGGGATTTTTCCATCCAACACAAAACTCTCCTTGGTCTTCTGGGGCCACACCCAGCAACTGTGAAAGCAGAAGGTCCAGCCCCCCGGCCTCAGGCGGTGCAGCGGGGCGGGCACGCACAGACCATGTGCTCGCTGGACACTGGCTCCTGGCTGGCACCAGCCCATCGCTGGGCCCACCATACCCCACCTTCAGGCTCTGGTCACTTGGGAGGACCCTGTATCGGACCTTGCTTACTGCACCCCGGGGATGTCGGTGGAGTGGGGTGCATCTGTCCCGGGCCACCCTCCTGCTGGCCAAGGCAATGTGGGGCTCCCAGGGTGCCACACTAGCAGCACTGTGACCTCTCCACCTGTGCTCTGAGCCGGGGGCCCCACCACCTGCACCCCAGCCACCTCAGACCCCCGTTGCAATAATAATGTGATGCGCTGGAGACATAGCTAGTTTGGACTCTAAACTTTTCGAAGTATTCATGCTACTTTCCTTTCGCTAAAACATGAAAACAAAACCGTAACAATTAAAGGAAAAAAGCTTCCAGAAAACCTGTTAAGGCTAAAAGCTGGCCTCTGAGGGGGCAGGGGCAGCAGCACTGAGGGGTGCCAAGAAGCAGGGGGGCAGACAGGGAGACCTAAGGCGGGGCGGCGGGAGGGCTGAGCCTCGCCGGGGCGCGCGGGACGAGGACCTCAGTTCTCAGACCTGCTTTGCTTTATTTGGAGACACTGTCGCTTTCTCATGTACAAAGCTAAATAATTAATAAAAAGGCACCTGGAGACAGCAAAGACTCATTCATTTCATGTGACATCTTTTAAAAAAAGATAAAAAGATTTAAAAAATACTCTGGTTAACAATGCACACTCCGTATCCCACCAGCGACTCTGGAGACGCCACCTCCTTTCCTCTCAGGGAGCCGGGCCGGCCTGCGCGGCTCGCTCAGGGCCCCGCGATGGCTTCCGGCCGCGGGGGAGGTCTCCTGTCCTGTACTACTGGATTGAAAGAGAGAAAGAAAAACGCCCCGGAGATTTCACCATTACAAGGGCTCATCGCAGGGCGGCTGAGCCCTCACCCTCAGGCGACCCCGCGCTGAGATCTCCTGCCCCTTGGTCCCCGCTGGTTGCTGGAAACCTTACGGCCGCTTCCTTGCCTAGAAACTGCTGAGGGCACGTTCAGAAATGCATGAAGTGGGCCAGGAAGCCCCGAGCCCAGATCAAACATTCGTTCTTCAATCCCCACGCCTGAGCCGGGAGCCCGAAGCTGTGCAGGATGGAGTCGGGGCGCCGGGTCCGGAAGCAGAGGAGGCGGCGGGAGGTGCAGGGCCTGGGGGCCAGAGGGGTCTCCCGGCCCTCCGGGGCCCCCTCCGTCGGCCTAGCTGGGCCTCAGGATGAAGCAGCCCAGGACTGGGCGGTCTGAGGCCTTCCGAAGCCCGGGCGCGAAGCCATTGCACCAGTGAAATACACCTTCTCGTAAAAAGAAAAGAAAAAAGAAAGAAACCCGCTTCCTGCAGCGATGGTACAAAAAGCCGTTAAAAAAACCTTTTGAATTGAAATCTAGTGTTCACAAGTAGGTAAAATCATCACGTATCAGAATTGGTTTTTAAACAAAAACTCGGGCTCCGTGATTGGAGTTGATTGTCTTAACAAAAATAGACTCCAGAGTTCGCCCCTCGGCCGGACGCCGGGCTCACACGAAGGAGGAGAAGCCGGTGAGCGGAGTCCGGGCGCCGGGGCCGGGGGGCGCGAACACCGCGCTCTGCGTGGTCACCACGGTGTGCAGGTGCGGCCCCGCCTCGCCGCCCGCCACCGCCTCGTAGCGGTGCGGGGCGCGGCGCTTCCACGAGTTGTAGTAGGTGGGGTCGCTCATGTAGTGGTTGACGAAGGAGTGCTGAGGGGGCGCGTCCTCGTACTCCGAGTCGGTGGCCTGGGGGGACAGTGACAGGGTGAGTGTGGGGGAGCAGCCGCAGGGGCCGTCATAGGAGCGAGGGGCCGCAGGGGAGGACATGGCTCAGGGGGTGGGGGCATGGGGAGCTGGTGGTCAGGGTGGGGGGTGAGGGTTATGGTGGGTGGTGGTCACGGCAAGGTGGCCGAGGGACGGTGGCCATGGTAGCACAAGGTGTAGCAGGAGGCAGGACCAGCCTTCGCACCCACCAGGGCCTGCCTGCCAGCGGTTTCTCCTCTCCTTCCCCCCACCCCAGGCCGCCACAGGGGCCACAGACCTCCCAGGCCTCCCCTGGCCAGAGCCCTGCTGAATGCAGGTCTGCACAGCCCACCCCAGCTGGGCCAGCGTGCTTTCTCAGCTGCTCTCCCCCACCCCCCCGTCTGCGCCCCAATCCTGGGTCTGCCTGAGCTGGGCCAGGGAGGGTCTACACGTCCCTCCCACCTGGGGAGCCCATGTGGTCTCCAGGGCATGTGCGCATGTGCGCATGTGCACAGCGTCCCTCCGGCACAGAGGGGCAGGGCCGCTGTGGGGACCAGAGGCGAGAGCCTGAGGGTGTTGCTGAGGAGGGCACCTCCTCGGGACTTTCATGTGAGGCCCCTTCATGCAGACCTCTGTGGGAGGTGCTGAGAATGAGGCCAACTGAGGGAGGCTGAGTCTGCGCTCTCGTCCCCTCCCTCGGGTGCTTCACCAGAAGAAGCGGGAAACCTGTAGTCCATGATGTAGATTAGTTCCTGCTGAGCGCCCCCCTTTATTTAAATAAAATAAATCAGAAATTTCCATTAAGAACATTAGTGCACACAGTTTCTATGTTCATTTTCTTAAAGCAGAACTCATGGTGTGTGTGTGTGTGTGTTTTATGATGTTTTGGGTTGATTTAAATCATTGGCAGGATTTTAATGTGGAACGTAGAGGCAGAAATAGATTTTTTTCCCCCCTGAAGGTGGAGGGCTCTGGTTTCCTCTCCTAGACAGGATCCTGGGACCCTCACGGGGGCGGGGGTGTGGGGGGCTCAGGAGCTTCCTGTAGTGGATGGAGCCCAGCAGGTGGCCCCGGTTCGGTAGTGACCAACATCTAGAAGCTCCCAGGGCCAGAAACACAGCAGGTGTTTACAGATGCCACGGTCAGCTAGTCAGGTTCAGGAGAGGACAGGAAATGGCGGTGGGCGGCACAGCGCCTTTCCAAGGCCTTCCACTGGCACCCGCATAACGCTGGCTTGGCCCCGGCCTCCTGAGCTGCCCTCACGCTCCAGCGACCCGGCTGCATGGCCGTTAGGGCACAGACCGCCTCTAGCTGGAATACGCAGACGGAGGGCCGCTCACAGACGCGGCTCCTGTGAACTCCGTGTCTGTGGGCTCGCGATGCCGGCAGCTGCGGCTCCTCTTTGTTTACTTCGTCAGAGCATGAGGAAGCGCAGGCCTGAACAGTGTCTCCTCCTGACACTCCGGAGATGCGGAGTTCAGTCCCTCAGGACCAGATGGTGATGACAGAGGTGATCGAGGCCCTTCTTGAGTGGACAGAACGCCTCCAGGGAACCTACCGACATTGTGTTCCTGCCAGTGACCTGAGGGGGGTATTCTAATCCCTTTTTCATAGATGAAGAAAGAGGCCGGTCTCTCTGGGTGGGGCGGGAGCCGAGCCTGACTGTGGACCCAGGCTTGTGCCAGCTGCGTGGATTCGTGCACCCCTATCGGCCACTCCACAGCCCGCAGGGCTCTAAAAATCAGGTGGCTTTTGTAATTCATTCGGTGGCAAAGCCTGACCTGCACTTAGCTAATTTGGCAGCTAAACCTGCGCTGAACTGATACGAGGCTATTAAGTGTGAGTATTCTGCTGTTTTGCTGCAGAATTACTAATGTGTTTTCTTGCATATTAGTCCTATTGGAGATGATACAAAAATAAATGATATACCCTCAAATCTGAAAAACACCAAATTCTTCGGTGATCTGCCTCAAGGGTTTTGGGCGAGCCATCATCAGAGCTGTGGTTTAAGGATTATTCTCCTGTTTTCTAGAGGCCTTGAAGTGGATTACAAGGCAAAGTGTGTAAGCTGACACAGGCAGGGGAGAGACTAAGGGTCACCCAGGAAGCTGAAGGGATCTGTGACCAGTCCCTGAATTGGGTTTGTCACTTCTGCAGATACTGAGTTTGGGTCTAAATTTCCCGAAGCACAGAGGTAAAGAGCACACGCTGAAATGCCCCCAGAGGCCTCCCTTTCCTCCTGAGAAAATAGCAGCCACTTGGGAACAGACGACAGCAATTTGGCTTGAGGTTTCACAAGTAGGGGTCAAGGCCATGATTACTGAAAGACTTAGTTGACCATTCAAGTTGCCTTTGGGGCTCTGGCGCCCCCACAGAGGATGCTTGTGTGGGAAATGTGAGGAGAGGTCTGTAAATCTCACTTTGTGTCTGAAGGAACCATGGCCCATAGAAAAGCGACCTTCTCAGGGGGGTCACATTACCAGGGGCATAGTGGGGCCCGACCCAGCACTGGTAGCAGAAATAAAGGCTTTTCAGTAACTCTTGAGAGACACCTTCTCCACAGCTTAAGAAGAGGGTGGGGAGGGTACGGGGAGGGCCCTCCCTGGTGGTGCAATGGGTCAAAGCACTATGAAGCTGTCACAGCCACTGAAGCATGAGTTCGATCCACGGCAGGGAGGTGACCCACATAGTGCAGCAGACCTCTCCTGTCTCGCCCACAGCTCCCTTCAGTAGTGTACTTCATGGATCTTCCTGTTCTAATCCTCTTACTCCCTGTATCTCTGGCCTGTACCCTGGTTCTGTATGCATAAATAAATAAATGTTAAAAAAAAAAAAGAGGGAATGGAAATGCTTTGAGTGGGAGGTCTTAGGTCAAGTCCTAGTGGGCAGGAATCACCCAAGTCCACACTCATGCAGCACCCAGCTGGTGACCCTTCAGACACCCTACCTGAGGAGGCTCTTTCCATCCTGGCCACCCCTCCCGCTGCAGCTGTCTAGCTGGGAGGGGGTCAAGAGAAAGTAGGAGTGGCCTGGAGGAGCCCCGCTTTATGGAGGGGCCAGCACTAGAAGCGTCTGTGCAGCTCAGCGTACAGAATGGTGGCCTGTGGTCCACCCCCGTGTCGCTTCCGTGACCAAGACACACAGCTTGGTGGGAGCCTACTTAATAACTAAACACCATTCTGCTCTTTCTTAAGCCAACAGCTGAAAGCCTTACAGCATGGAGAGAGGGGTCCATGACCAACGTGGGTGCTAACACTCCTGGCAGGAGCTGAGGCGGTGGCTATGTTCCTGTCCGGGCTTTGACCTTCCTGGATGACCTTCAGAACACCCCTTTTCTGCTTTTCCTTGTCACACGGTAATGACTGTCTCTAAGGCAGCAGTGTTTGGCTAATGGGTAGGCACATGACTCGAGCTGAGCTGGAAGGCGTCACCTGGGGTTTTCACACAGTCTGGAAGAGCAGAGCTCAGTGGGCAACCGGGTGGGTGACCGGAGTCCTAAGTGGCCAGGGTTGCTGACCTAGCCCATGGCTCCCTGACCTGCCCTAGGAGATCAACCACCATGCAGGAGGAGGTGGGGACCAGAGACTCAGACAGGCCCCCGTGCTCCCTGCTTTTCATCAAGAGAGGAACAGGAGTCTGCCGCTCCGGAGAAGCCCCCCTGAGTGAGCATGGCATTAAACGGCCACTCCTCCTTCGGCTGACATGCTGTTGATTTCCTTATATGACATTATTATTTTTTAATGGGGATGCAGATGCATTTTACTAAGTTAGAATTATTGACAAGAAGGAAAAGCTGCAGGGTCCTTTTTTTCTTTTTTCTTTTTTTTAAGTTTCCTGTGTGATATGGAGGGGTGATGTGTGCTGGTTTCCCAGGAAACTGGGGGAGAGCAGGCGTGACTGGATGTGGTGACGGACCCACTGTGAGTTTCCGGCGGTACGCGGGAGCCGGGAAGCGGCTGACAGAGATGACCCTAACACCTCTGGTGTTATGTCCGCGATGAAAGACTCAGAATTACTGGGAACTAGTTAGGTACGAGGAGTACAAAGGGGTTGGCCTAAGTCGGACGGAGCAGGAGAGATTTTGAAGACTTTCTTTGGATTTCAAAAACAAATTTTAAAATGCAATTGAAGCATCAAACTGACATAGGTCTTAAAGTGGTGACGGCCCTCTTCTTTCTAACCAGGGAAACATAGGGGCACAGCGTGTGTCACGTGGGGCTGCTGGCCTGTTCAGAGCAGCGCCCATCAGTTAAGGTCTTGTGCACCTGTGAGTTGATTCGCGGAACTGTCACGTTAGCAATTTCTCAGAAAATGGTTAAAAAATACCCTAAGGGGAAAAGATTTGGCATCGCTGTTTCTTAGGGGATTGCCAACTTCTCAAAAGAGCTCTTCTGGCAGAGCCCCTGGGGTTGCAGACACCTTATTGCCCTGGATCTGAAGAAGGTGGGGGCCAGAGACTGCCCCAGCCCAGTCTAGCCCTTTCATTCCTGCACCCAGCGGGGGTCTGCCATGGGCTGGGCCCACGATGTGGAATGCACATTGCTCTTTACCCCTCACATCTCAGTGCACCGGTCTTTAACTCTGGAACCATCTTTGGTAGGGGATGGGCACTTTTCATCTACTGCAAAGCCACGAACAGGCAATCCCGCCTGAAGTGGGTGCTACAGCTTCTGAGATTCTGCCTCCTCGATTTGTTCTCCCTGTGGCCCGGCCAGTCTCTCTAACCTAGGGACAGTTCTCTCGGTCACACCTCAGGGACATTGTGGATTTGGCTCCAGAGCACCACAATAGAGTGAACATCGCAGTAAAGCAAGTCGCCTGAACTTTTTGTTTCTCCATGCACATATAAGCTGTGCTTCTACTATGCTGTAGTCTATTAAATGTGCAACAGCGTATGTCTAACAAAACAAGGTACATGCCTTCATTTCAGGTGACACAGAGACACAAAAAAGCTGTTGGAAAAATGGTGCTGATAGATTTGCCCAAGGAAGGATGGCATAGAC